TGACCCTTTGATCTCACAGTGGGACATCTGTACCCTAACCCTTTGATGTTCCCTGACCCTTTGATCTCACAGTGGGACGTCTGTACCCTAACCCTTTGATGTTCCCTGACCCTTTGATCTCACAGTGGGACATCTGTACCCTAACCCTTTGATGTTCCCTGACCCTTTGATCTCACAGTGGGACATCTGTACCCTAACCCTTTGATGTTCCCTGACCCTTTGATCTCACAGTGGGACATCTGTACCCTAACCCTTTGATGTTCCCTGACCCTTTGATCTCATAGTGGGACGTCTGTACCCTAACCCTTTGATGTTCCCTGACCCTTTGATCTCACAGTGGGACATCTGTCCATCTCAGCTGTGAGGACCATCAAACACATCTGGAACAATGCCAACGTTTCAAAGCTCCGTGTCGAGGACGTCCTGTGTCTGTTGCTTGCAGCGGTCTGTGATCTTTAACTTCTGTTTCAGAACAATTCAATCTAGACTCGAGACAAAGGTCACATTAGAATAAATGTATCATCAGATGCATGACTAGACACCAGCAGACACATTGACGTATTTATTTGAACATTAAGAGTAGTGACCCTGGCAGGAGAACTGCAGTGTAGAGGGAGGAGTCAGTGTAGAGGGAGGAGTCAGTGTAGAGGGGGAGGAATCAGTGTAGAGGGAGAGGAGTCAGTGTAGAGGGAGCAGTCAGTGTAGAGGAAGGAGTCAGTGTAGAGGGAGGAGTCAGTGTAGAGGGAGCAGTCAGTGTAGAGGGAGGAGTCAGTATAGAGGGAAGAGTCAGAGTAGAGGGAGGAGTCAGTGTAGAGAGGGAGCAGTCAGTGTAGAGGAAGGAGTCAGTGTAGAGGGAGCAGTCAGTGTAGAGGGAGGAGTCAGTATAGAGGGAGGAGTCAGAGTAGAGGGGGAGGAATCAGTGTAGAGGGACAGGAGTCAGTGTAGAGGGAGCAGTCAGTGTAGAGGAAGGAGTCAGTGTAGAGGGAGGAGTCAGTGTAGAGGGAGCAGTCAGTGTAGAGGGAGGAGTCAGTATAGAGGGAGGAGTCAGAGTAGAGGGAGGAGTCAGTGTAGAGGGGGAGGAGTCAGAGTAGAGGCAGGAGTCAGAGTAGAGGGAGGAGTCAGTGCAGAGCGGGAGGAGTCAGTTTAGAGGGAGATGTCAGTGTAGATGGAGGAGTCAGTGTAGCGGGAGGAGTCAGTGTAGATGGAGGAGTCAGTGTAGAGGGAGGAGTCAGTGTAGAGGGAGGAGTCAGTGTAGAGGGAGGAACCAGCGCAGAGGGGAGGAGTCAGTGCAGAAGGGGAGGAGTCAGATTATAGTTAGGAGTCAGTGGAGGGGGGGAGGAGTCAGTACAGAGGGAGGAGTCAGTGCAGAGGGGAGGAGTCAGTACAGAGGGAGGAGTCAGTGCAGAGGGGGAGGAGTCAGTACAGAGGGAGATGTCAGCGTAGATGGAGGAGTCAGTGTAGCGGGAGGAGTCAGTGTAGATGGAGGAGTCAGTGTAGCGGGAGGAGTCAGTGTAGATGGAGGAGTCAGTGTAGATGGAGGAGTCAGTGTAGCGGAAGGAGTCAGTGTAGAGGGAGGAGTCAGTGTAGAGGGAGGAGTCAGTGCAGAGGGAGGAGTCAGTGTAGAGGGAGGAGTCAGTGCAGAGGGAGGAACCAGCGCAGAGGGGAGGAGCCAGCGCAGAAGGGGAGGAGCCAGACCACAGGGAGGAGTCAGTGGAGGGGGGGAGGAGCCAGCACAGAGGGAGGAGCCAGCGCAGAGGGGAGGAGCCAGCACAGAGGGAGGAGCCAGCGCAGAGGGGGAGGAGTCAGTACAGAGGGAGATGTCAGCGTAGATGGAGGAGTCAGTGTAGCGGGAGGAGTCAGTGTAGATGGAGGAGTCAGTGTAGCGGGAGGAGTCAGTGTAGATGGAGGAGTCAGTGTAGCGGGAGGAGTCAGTGTAGAGGGAGGAGTCAGTGTAGAAGGGGAGGAGTCAGATTATAGGGAGGAGTCAGTGCAGGGGGGGAAGAGTCAGTACAGAGGGAGGAGTCAGTGCAGAGGGAGGAGTCAGTGCAGAGGGGAGGAGTCAGTACAGAGGGAGGAGTCAGTGCAGAGGGGGAGGAGTCAGTGTGGCCTCTCTTTGATCCAGTCTGAATTTACACTTAAGCTCCATTACTGATCTTTAACTTCTGATATAGAGAACAATATTGATGTTTAACTCCTCCCCCTCTACTCTAACTCCTCCCCCTCTCCTCTGACGCCTCCCCTGTACTCTGACTTCTCCCCCTCCATTCCGACACCTCCCCCTCTACTCTGACTCCTCCCCTTCTACCTCCCCCTCTACACTGACTCCTCCCCCTCTACTCTGACTCCTCCCCCTCTACACTTTCTGCAGAGCCTGTGCACTACAAAGTCACTGATTATTGCGGTGGTTACATTGAGATGAAACTCGGTGAAAGTCCATGGGAGAAAGTTTGTTTCAGCGGAGACCTCCCCCTGAATATCAGAACAAAACTGTGTGAGGAGCTGGGCTGCGAAGGACCCACCGACCGCAATGGCCTCTCTGAGGTCCTCAAGGTGAGATCTCTGAGGTCCCCAAGATGAGAGGTCTGAGGTCCTCATAATGAGAGGTCTGAGGTCCTCAAGATGAGAGGTCTCAGGTCCTCAAGATGAGAGGTCTGAGGTCCTCATAATGAGAGGTCTGAGGTCCTAAAGGTGAGAGCTCTGAGGTCCTATAGATGAGAGCTCTGAGGTCCTATAGGTGAGAGCTCTGAGGTCCTATAGGTGAGAGCTCTGAGCTTCTCTTTTCCTTCAGTTGAATTACAGTCTAGAGTCTTGCTCAAAGGACCATCAACACATCAAGTTCTGTCTGTCCATGGACCAGTGCACCAAGCAACCAGCACAGCTCTACTGTAAAGGTGAGGTCTCCCCACATCTCCCACTGGTCTCTCCACTGGTCTCTCCTCTGGTCTCTCATCTGGTCTCTCCTCTGGTCTCTCCAGAGGTCTCTCCACTGGTCTCTCCTCTGGTCTGTCCTCTCATCTTTCCATTGGTCTCTCCCACTGCTCTCTCCACTGGTCTCTCCCACTGGTCTCTCCACTGGTCTCTCCCAATGGTCTCTCCTCTTGTCTCTCCACTGGTCTCTCCTCTGGTCTCTCCCACTGGTCTCTCCTCTGGTCTCTCCTCTTGTCCCTCCACTGGTCTCTCCTCTGGTCTAACCCTGATCCTTCTGACAGGTTACGAGCCCCCGCTCCGCTCCTCTGGTCCCTCTGTTCTGGTCCCTGTGCTCCTCAGTTTGGGTTTGGTTCTGACTCTTGTCATCGGAGGATACTTCCTGCTGAGGTTTTACCTCCGACGCAACAACACTTCTATCAAGCAGCTTCTGCGTGAGTGAATTTGAGTATTCAGAATAAAATGGGTTAAGGGCAGAGAGACCAGAGAGAGACAAGAGAGAGACCAGAGAGAGACACCAGAGAGAGACCATAGAGAGACCAATGAGAGAGACCAGAGAGAGACACCAGAGAGAGACCAGAGAGAGACCAGAGAGAGACCAGAGAGAGACCAGAGAGAGACCAGAGAGGTACCAGAGAGAGACCAGAGAAAAACCAGAGAGAGACCAGAGAGAGACCAGAGAGAGACCAGAGAGAGACCAATGAGAGAGACCAGAGAGATACCAGAGAAAGACCAGAGAACCTCTCTGACAAGTTTAAGGCAGTTTCAGTAACAATAGTTTGAAGTGTTCACATTAAGACAGCTCTAACTTCAGCTCTAACTTCAGCTCTAACATGTGCGTCTGCGGCCATGTTCCCAAAGCGTGTGGAAGAAGACTTTGAAAGTGGAGAATATGAAGATCCTCCAAACCTGTCCAAAGACATCTTTGCCCACGGTGTGTTTCCTACGTATTAACCCTCACCCCCACAGGGTCTAGTGTTAAAGACCTTATGCAGGGTTTGATTGATTTAGAAATACAGTTTTAATACCATGTTATATTAGAAAAGAACTACTAAAGGTTTCAAAATCAGTTTTTTTTTTGTTAAATCCCCCCAAATCAAAATAACCCCATAGCAACGCCCTTAGAGACGAAAAAAATTCACAGCCCTTGGTGACGTCAGAGCGGGTACGTTTCAACGCTGTAAGTTGTTTACAATTTGGTATTTGGTCTTTTTTCAGCAACTCTGGTTCAATTCGCACCTCAGACACATTTTCACTCTCAAACGGCAATATAAGTGTAATGAGCAATTGACACCTGTAGAGTGCAGTATTGTGTCGGACATCAGTGCAGAGAATGGCTTTGATCCATTTCAATGCATGGGCATTGGTTAGAGCATAGACAACTTAAATTAATTAAAAACACATTCTTTTTATAAAATATAGGATTTTTTTTGCAATTTTGATATCCACAATAAAAAAAAAACCCTGCATAAGGTCTTTAATGTGTGTGTGTGTGTAGATGATGCCTTGGCTGTAGGGGGCGCCGCAGAGAAAATGTCTTCTTCTTTGAGTTATGACAACGTGGACGATCTCACGCAGCAACTGACCAGTGGATCTCCCGAACACCAGGGTGTGTGTCTGTTTGTCTGTGTGTGTCTTTGAGTGTCTGTGTGTGTGTGTTTGTCTGTGTGTGTAGGTCTTTTTGTCTGTTTGTCTCTCTCTCTGTGTGTTTTTTCTGTGTGTGTGTGTGTGTCTTTGAGTGTGTGTGTGTGTTCACAATGTGTGTTTTGTGTGTGAGATTGTCTGTCTGTGTGTGTGTGTGTGTGTGTTCACAATGTGTGTTTGTGTGTGAGCTTGTCTGTGTCTGTGTGTTCACAATGTGTGTTTGTGTGTCAGCAGAAGACTCAGATCAGGACAGTTACGATGACATCGACGTCGTTGTCCAGACGACAGCAGAGATCCATCCTCAGCATCCTCTGGGGGGAGGAGGGGGAGGAGAGGGAGGAGAGGGAGGAGGGGGGGAAGGGGATGGGGAAAGTGCAGACCTGATCCCGGGGGAGGATGATTACCTGGTGCCCCCTGGAGGTCAGCCTTGAAACTGTGTGGAACCAAAATAATGGTCCCCAACCCTAACCTTGACATACAGTATACCACCATAACATATACCATTAACCATATACCATATACCATAAACCATATACCATATACCATTAACCATATACCATATACCATATACCATAAACCATATACCATTAACCATATACCATATACCATAAACCATATACCATACACCATATACGATATACCATTTACCATACACCAGATACCATAAACCATATACCATATAGCATTTAGCATATACTATATAACATATACCATATACCACCATAACATATACCATTAACCATATACCATATACCCTAAACCAGCCATTCCCAAACTCAGTAACACCGAGGCCCCCTTAAAAATCTGACGGGTCTGCGTGGCCCCCCAAAATAATATCCAAGAAGACAACATTAAGAATAGGCTCTTCTGATTATTTTATTTTGGGGAAATAGCCTTTGCTACAAACATTGTAATACAAAAATGATTACAGAGGATTATTCAAGTCAAATAATGAACACAAATATTTTAATATTACAAACAAAACATTATAAATTTAACATTAAATAATTATATTTTTTTTTTTATGACCTCCCGCGGCCCCCCTGCAGTACCCTCGCGGCCCACCAGGGGGCCGCGGACCCCACTTTGGGAGACACTGCCCTAAACCATGTACCATATAACACAGCCATTCCCAAACTCAGTAACACCGAGGCCCCCTTAAAAATCTGACGGGTCTGCGTGGCCCCCCAAAATACTAACCAAGAAGACAACATTAAGAATAGGCTCTTCTGGTTATTTTATTTTGGGGAAATAGCCTCTGCTACAAACATTGTAATACAAAAATGATTACAGTGGATTATTCAAGTCAAATAATGAACACAAATATTTTAATATTACAAACAAAACATTATAAATTTAACATTAAATAATTATATATATATATATATATTTTTTATGACTTCCCGCGGCCCCCCTGCAGTACCCTCGCGGCCCACCAGGGGGCCGCGGACCCCACTTTGGGAGACACTGATATAACATATACTATATACATAAATCATATAGCATAAACCATAAAACATATACCATAAACCATCTAACATACACCATGTAACATATACAATATACCATGTTACATATACCATATACCACCTTATACCATGTAACATATACCATATATAATCTCTATCTCTATCACGGGTGCAGTTTTTCTGATTACATATATGTGCTTTACACCTTCTGAATGTTATTAATCATTACCTGTGACCCTCACCCCTGATCGACCCTCACCCATCTGTGACACTCACCCCTCTGTGACCCTCACCCCTCAGTGACCCTCACCCCTCAGTGACCCTCACCCCTCAGTGACCCTCACCCCTCTGTGACCCTCACCCCTCAGTGACCCTCCCCCCTCAGTGACCCTCACCCCTCTGTGACCCTCCCCCCTCAGTGACCCTCACCCCTCAGTGACCCTCACCCTTATGCTAATCCTAATGTTAGTAATCATTTTCATCAATTATCATTAAACTGTCATTTGCTGTTATTTGTGATGTGTTCATTCACCAGAGAGTGTAGTACTGTGTACAGACCTGTGGGGGCGCTCTGAGGGTAGTACTGTGTACAGACCTGTGGGGACGCTCCGACTGTAGTACTGTGTACAGACCTGTGGGGACGCTCCGACTGTAGTACTGTGTACAGACCTGTGGGGGCGCTCTGAGTGTAGTACTGTGTACAGACCTGTGGGGGCGCTCTGAGTGTAGTACTGTGTACAGACATGTGGGGGCGCTCTGAGTGTAGTACTGTGTACAGACCTGTGGGGGCGCTCGTACTGTAGTACTGTGTACAGACCTGTGGGGGCGCTCTGACTGTAGTACTGTGTACAGACCTGTGGGGGCGCTCTGACTGTAGTACTGTGTACAGACATGTGGGGGCGCTCTGAGTGTAGTACTGTGTACAGACATGTGGGGGCGCTCTGACTGTAGTACTGTGTACAGACCTGTGGGGGCGCTCTGACTGTAGTACTGTGTACAGACATGTGGGGGCGCTCTGACTGTAGAACTGTGTACAGACCTGTGGGGGCGCTCTGAGTGTAGTACTGTGTACAGAGATGTGGGGGCGCTCTGAGTGTAGTACTGTGTACAGACATGTGGGGGCGCTCTGAGTGTAGTACTGTGTACAGACCTGTGGGGGCGCTCTGAGTGTAGTACTGTGTACAGACCTGTGGGGGCGCTTGTACTGTAGTACTGTGTACAGACCTGTGGGGGCGCTCTGACTGTAGTACTGTGTACAGACCTGTGGGGGCGCTCTGACTGTAGTACTGTGTACAGACATGTGGGGGCGCTCTGAGTGTAGTACTGTGTACAGACATGTGGGGGCGCTCTGACTGTAGTACTGTGTACAGACCTGTGGGGGCGCTCTGAGTGTAGTACTGTGTACAGACATGTGGGGGCGCTCTGACTGTAGAACTGTGTACAGACCTGTGGGGGCGCTCTGAGTGTAGTACTGTGTACAGAGATGTGGGGGCGCTCTGAGTGTAGTACTGTGTACAGACCTGTGGGGGCGCTCTGAGTGTAGTACTGTGTACAGACATGTGGGGGCGCTCTGAGTGTAGTACTGTGTACAGACCTGTGGGGGCGCTCGTACTGTAGTACTGTGTACAGACCTGTGGGGGCGCTCTGAGTGTAGTACTGTGTACAGACCTGTGGGGGCGCTCTGAGTGTAGTACTGTGTACAGAGATGTGGGGGCGCTCTGAGTGTAGTACTGTGTACAGACATGTGGGGGCGCTCTGAGTGTAGTACTGTGTACAGACCTGTGGGGGCGCTCTGACTGTAGTACTGTGTACAGACATGTGGGGGCGCTCTGACTGTAGTACTGTGTACAGACATGTGGGGGCGCTCTGGTGCTGAGTGTTGAACTGTACGTGTGAAAAGTAAATATAGTTTGATGCACAGCACGACGAGCGCCTCCATCCTCCAGCTCTGAGCAGAAGGGTGAGGTTCGAGGCCCAGGGTTAACATCCTCTGGTACAGGACACAGCCTAAGGCCTGGTTCACACGCGACGATTTTAAAATTGTTGGACGATTTTTTCTCTGTGTGTGGGGTCTCTTTGGTCGTACAGTGTGTGGTGCGCAGCCACACGGCAAAACCACACAAACCACACACATCACACACGAACCGATTCCCCCGAGCATTCCCAGATCAGACGGAAATCTCACAAAATCTCGCGAGATCAAGCGTGACTTCAGAGTAAACACACATGGCGGACGAAGAGGATGCAGTGGCGACAGTTTTCAGTTTGTTTTTAGCAGAGAAAAGACGTAATCAAAAGAAAAGGCGACGGTCAAAGAAGTGTAGACAACATGAGCTTCATCGTGATCTGGAAGTGAGTTGTTTTTTTACGGTGTTTCCTCGCCGCCTCGTCTCGTCTTCTGATTGGCTACACGCCGCAGTCATGGCAACGCGCTCGTCTGTCCTCAGGGGACACCACACACGAAGAGAAATCGGGCCAAAACAATCCAACATGTTGGATATCCCCGATTTTGAGATCGGAGCAGTCCCAAAGTCCTTCACACGGCAGGAAAATCCATCAGGTTTTTTGTTACGATATTTGGAGAGTTCTTACGATCGTCGTAGGGGTACATCAGGTCCAAAATCAGCCCAATTATCCTGCCGTGTGAACCAGGCTTTATTCTCTTCCAAGAGACAGAGACAAAGGAGAGGGTCAGGGGAAAGAAACACAAGTTTATTGTTTGCTCGTTAGTCCAAAGAGTCTGGTTAGTTCAAAGAGTCTGGTTAGTCCAAAGAGTCTGGTTAGTCCAAAGAGTCTGGTTAGTCCAAAGAGTCTGGTTAGTCCAAAGAGTCTGGTTAGTCCAAAGAGTCTGGTTAGTCCAAAGAGTCTGGTTAGTCCAAAGAGTCTGGTTAGTCCAAAGAGTCTGGTTAGTCCAAAGAGTCTGGTTAGTCCAAAGAGTCTGGTTAGTTCAAAGAGTCTGGTTAGTCCAAAGAGTCTGGTTAGTCCAAAGAGTCTGGTTAGTCCAAAGAGTCTGGTTAGTCCAAAGAGTCTCATTAGTCCAAAGAGTCTTGTTAGTCCAAAGAGTCTCGTTAGTCCAAAGAGTCTCGTTAGTCCAAAGAGTCTCGTTAGTCCAAAGAGTCTTGTTAGTCCAAAGAGTCTCATTAGTCCAAAGAGTCTTGTTAGTCCAAAGAGTCTGGTTAGTCCAAAGAGTCTGGTTAGTCCAAAGAGTCTGGTTAGTCCAAAGAGTCTGGTTAGTCCAAAGAGTCTGGTTAGTCCAAAGAGTCTGGTTAGTCCAAAGAGTCTGGTTAGTCCAAAGAGTCTGGTTAGTCCAAAGAGTCTGGTTAGTCCAAAGAGTCTGGTTAGTTCAAAGAGTCTGGTTAGTCCAAAGAGTCTGGTTAGTCCAAAGAGTCTGGTTAGTCCAAAGAGTCTGGTTAGTCCAAAGAGTCTCATTAGTCCAAAGAGTCTTGTTAGTCCAAAGAGTCTCGTTAGTCCAAAGAGTCTCGTTAGTCCAAAGAGTCTCGTTAGTCCAAAGAGTCTTGTTAGTCCAAAGAGTCTCATTAGTCCAAAGAGTCTTGTTAGTCCAAAGAGTCTCGTTAGTCCAAAGAGTCTCGTTAGTCCAAAGAGTCTGGTTAGTCCAAAGAGTCTGGTTAGTCCAAAGAGTCTTGTAACAATGGGTGAATAGCAATGAACAGATTACAGTCAAAATCCCACTAATGCAGACAGATAAAGTAGGAAGGAGGAGAGGATAGAGCTCTTCCCACACTTCTCCCTTCGCAGCTTGACAGTCTAAGCTGTCTCACAGTCTGCTCGTGATGCTCGTTGGAGGAGCTTATCTATTGCCTGAACCAGACTCAGTGTCAGCTTGTGTTTATATAAATAAATGACTTTTACCTCACAGCATGTGTACATTTACTTTGTCACTTACTTATCAAGAACGTTACTACTCATACAAATAATATTGTCATTATTGCTATAATAACAAT